AGCTCTATTCCCAAGGTCAACCAAGAAGCAAGGCTTGGTGCAATATAAAATAAATTCAAGGAGGGCCTTCTTCCATCCTCCCATTGGGTAAATGGAAAGGGAATAAGAAGCTCCCATCATACCTAAGTTACTTTGTTTATTAATACAGGCCCCAGGTTGAATCCACAGCTCAGTTAACAACAGGTAGTGATTTCACCCATATGTTTGCTGTAATTCCTAGGGAATAGAAAGATCTTGAGATCTTGTGGTATGGAATACTAGACATAAGTAATTTGCATATATTTTCCCTCCTTCATTCAGTGATCTCTGAAATTACTATGGAGTAGGAGTGAGGAGTTGAATTTGAGACTTAAAATATTTAAAATAAAGTTCTGTGTTTGAAAGTAGCTAGCACTTTTGAGGGCCTTGATTTTTGAGTGCCCATCTTGAGACACTTTAAAGGAGCTCGGCTTTCAGAAAGTGCTGAACACCCACCCACAGAAAACCAGGCTCTATGTAAATTGCATACCCAAAAATTGAGAAGCAAATATGCAAGTCTCTTTTGAGCATTTAGGCTAGAATGACTTTTTGGGCTGAGTGCAATCATTCCATTATCTAAAAGTCAGCTGATCTGCTATTCTGGATCAGACCCTAATGTATTATATAGGATGGTACTGTAATTGGTTCATTAGTCTGCAACTAGAAAGACAGAGTAATCTATAGTTCTGCAGTGGATTGAAGAGTTTTACTGGGTGCTCTACTGAAAAAGCATATTTCTGAATAGAATGTGCTTTTTGCCATATGAATGTAACCATAGAGTTTAATAGGAATGCGACATATTAGAAATAGTAGTAATACAGTCATTATTAGAAGTTTTTAATAAACCTATGCATTTGCTAGAAGAATTTCTAAAAGTTTTAAACTGAATTGATTGTTTATATACCATAGATATATATAGATATATATATATAAAGTTCCTCCATCCATTATTATTTTGTGCAAATTATTTAGACTATAAATGAACGTTTCTTAGAAGAAAATATAAAAGCCATTTTAAATGAAGCTATTAAGAGAACTGTGAAAGTGCAAAGCATATTGCTTAAATTCAGCAGTCAGTAAATCAGCTAAAATACTTTAAATTATTTAAAACTGGTAAACTGAATATTTTTGAATGTTAGGCAGAAATTAATAAAAATAATTTGAAAAAATCATTTTTATTTCTAAGAATGTTTGTCTGACAATTAGAATGATACCTAACTAATCCATAGGGCCAAATTATATCAATGCACAAGCTACACAATCCCAGTGAAGTCAGTGAATCTGGCTCTTGATTTGCTATAATGCAAAGATAAAACTTAATTACTATGTACTTCCTCACTGTAGGGAAGTGGAATACTGGGCTAAGTACAGTATAATAAGATTGTATATTATATAGATTTTGATCCTACACCAAGTGACATCCATGGGAAAATTCAGTTGATTTCAAAGGGTAGAGGCGGGCCCACATGGTGACAAAAAGCTGGTTATTATTCAAATTGTTTACTGTGTAATAAATGCCAAAACATCAAGTACCTGTACTGAAATAAACCTAATGGTGCTGTTACTTTTCTTATTGTACTACTTTGATCATTTATTTTGTGCCATTCTTGCTCCTAGTGGAAGATTTAGAAAGACATGATGGCTCTCCAGAAAAACCCTATTATATGAGTAAATCTCTTTTGAAGATTTTGAACAAGCAGAATGTTGAAACCAAGAGACATTAGAAAATGCCCAGTGATGTTTATTTAGTCCTGGTTTGATGCATTGTCTTTTCAATACAGTATTAATTGTTGGCTTTTATTTGCATGTTTTATACCAAAGTGTCTATGTAAAGCCATCAGAATTGGTAAGGAAACAGTTTAAAAAAACAAAAAACCCAAGATGGGAACATTTTTATACGGAGATTTGTTCCTTTTTTCAAGTGGTTTTTAGCTTTTAATTCTAGAGGCGTGGCTGTTTTAAAGATGCTGAATATTCTTTTCAATATAAGCATTTTAAAAGTATGAATTTTTTTTTTCTGTTGCATATTCTGGCATAGGACAGTAAAAAGATTTTAAAAAATCACCATGTTATGCTTATCCTAAAAAGAGGGTCTTTAAATAATCTTCTAAAAATAAATGACCATAAAAACAATTACACTTAACATATTATCTCAGTATTGTTGTTGCCAGTCACCCAGCCTGTACAACTGTGTCCTCTATGACAAAAGTGCCTTACTGGCTATTATTATTACCCAGTTTATATCTTAAAGTTTACACACATCATGTAAGACTACAAAATAGAATTGCTAGATAGGAAAAAAATCAGAGTTTTTCAGCTTAGTTGAAATTTAATGTTATAAAATCAATTGCATTTTAAATACATGTGACATTTTTGCTAAATAGTGCAGTAATTTCCCTGTTACTGTTGTCAGATCATGAAAGCGTACTTTATGCTCCCAGAAAGAAAGCAAAAGATAATGGTTGTGTTACAGAAGAAAATCATGCAAGAATGTTATTAGCTTTAGTTCTCTTTTCTAATTCTAATTTAGGTGACACTGAACTCTTTAACTGGGGCCTATTATGTCTTCAGGTTCAGAGATAACTCATTGTGTCTGGGGAACTGAGGATAGAATTGGGCCCTTGGTATTTAAAATAGAATAAAAAGGGAAGTTAGTAGATGTCTGTTACGCCATTGCTATATATATGTATTTTTATGTTCCCAAATGTAAAATAGATGCTTCATTTTAAGACTGTTTATTTACTATTCTGGAAGTGTTTATAAATGGCCTGTAATTTTGTAGTTTTTGATACAGATTATTCAAGGTTACTGGTGCAATTAATATAAAAATGGATTGTCTATTACTGTATGTTCCAGAAGGGTCCATAAGCATGTATCTTAAATAAGAACATGTATAATCACAAAAAGGCAATTTTAAAGGTTGAGAAATTAGAAGTAACTGTCATTTTCACTTACCACATTTTCTTCTTAATGTGGCTGAGACATTATCAAGTATCATTTTCATGCCAAAACCAAACTAACGTGAGCACAT